CCCGCTGTCCCTGGGACAGGTTGTTCTGAAGGTGTTGGGAGGGCCCATGTGGAGAAAAGGGCTCTGTTACCTCGGAAATCTCATTATCAGCAGAGGAAATCTGCTCAAGGCGTGTCTGACAGAGCCTTTCCACCCAATACTGAATCTTTTCTGATTCCTCAAGGTCTTCCCGCTCAGTCTCAGATACCTGGGACGCAGACCCATGGCGAGAGGAGAGGACAAATGACATACTGAATCACTTGGGCAGTAATTCCCAAAAACCCCTGGTACAGGTCAGTGTGTCAGCATCTAGAAAAGGACCCAGCCTCCTTCCACCTGGCCCTGGAAACAGAAACTAGGACGAAGGGGCTGGGGTGTCAGGGTCACTTAACAGCAAGTGCGGGGGTTCATGCACTGCCCGGGAATACCGGCCCCCAGGATCCTCATGACCCCAAGGCTCTCGGGTTTTCTGAAATTGGTCCTTTCACAGCTTCCCTGCCCATTCCAAGGGTTTAACTTACTCTTGTTTTCCCCTCAAGGCTGCCTTGTCCTCACAAGTGCAAGTTCAATCTTATTCTTCATTTTGTAGCTAATTTATCCTTAATGCCAGACCTAATATACTTCGCATTTTCCAGGAGTTCTCTGGTTTTATAATCTAATCAGCTTGGCATTGTGATTCATGAAAGCATTAAAGAGAAACAGAGAGAATATTGCCTGCAGTCAGGGAGTTCAGGCCGACCATCTTACCCAGAACACGAGAGTTGCTGGTACTATTAACAAGGCTGGAAAACCTTGGATTCACTCCTAGGTTATAGAGGTCTTACCTCAGATACACTATGTGTGGGTGGGAGCAGCCTCAGATTCTAAGCACGATTCATTGGAAAAAGTCTCAACTTACCATCTGCACTGAGGGGCTAACCTTAGACACATATAACTCAGAGCCAAGCCAGCTTGGTGAGACCTGGTTTTGGACTTATAACCTGGGTAGGGAGAGCAGACTGAATGAAACAGGTGAGTAGAAGGCTAACTTCAGATCTTCCAGAGACACAGAGTGCTTAACCAGACTGTAAGCCAAGAGATCTGCCTCACTGACACACCTGGGGTGGTGAAGTCTTGCCATAGCTTCATGCCTTGGGGTAGGGGGTTGTAAAAGAGCCAGAGTTATGTATCAGTGAATACCCTGAGACCCACAGTCTGGGCAGGGAGGCTGGCCTCACACCCAGACCTTGAGCCAGGAGATGAGCCTAACACGCACCTAGCCCAGAGCTGACCTCAGATGGCCTTAGACACTCTGGTCTCATTCTTTAGAATGGGGAGGAAGGGTCCATCTTGGGACTCCATCTGTGAAGAACAAGCCCAGCTGGCCCCTGGAAGCGTGGGTAGGGCCAACAAGACGTGTCCCAGGGCTGTCTGCCTGCAGCAGGACACGTACCTCCTGTGCCAGCCGGTTGATCTTTAGCTGCTTCTCCTTCTCCAGCATCTCTTCTTTCTCTTTGTAAAGCTTTTGCTCAAACTCCAGCTCCTTCTTATTCTTCCTCAAGTCCTGCAGGCTGTCATACTTCGCTTTCTTCTTTTCTTTTCCTTTCTGAGCAAACGTGGCATACAGACCCTCGTTTGTATGACGAGGGTTACCAGGTAATGTCGGCACTAGCCCAGGACAGCAGACAGGGCGTCTGGTCCTCAGACAACATAGGGAAGCCTCTCATGATAAGCCCCACTCCAGCTCTGTCCCACCACACTGGGCCTCAGGCCCCAAGATAAGGCAGGCCACCACTGCCCATTGTAACATGAGAGACACACTCCTTACTCGAAGAGGAGAGCTGGCTTTCTGGTTCACTAACTAGCTGTGTGACCTTTGTGCTAAGTTCCTTTACCTCTCTGGGCCTGATTCATCTCATCTCAACTGGGGAAACAGCTGCCCCCTGGGTTTTCTGCCAGAACCCATAAAATAGGGCTTTGTAGCCTTCAAAGTGCAGCCTGATGAAAGGTATCTTGTTCACTTCCTAGGACCTGGGTGTTTGTGTTCCCCAGCATTGGAAGAGGAAGGTAGATCCTGTTCAGATGCCAGAGATGCATCCTGGGAGATTCTAGAAAGTCTGGGAGAGCTGGGCAATCTCATGGGCAGAGATCTGTCTTTTTCTAGAGGAAGTAGAAGCAGACCCAGAGGTGGGCCCCAAGGCCAGACATCGAATTCTGATTTGCAAGCATTATGCTTTACCATCTAGAAAGTCCAAAGCCAGGGTTCCCTCTGAATTGGGTCTTCAACTGAGGATTAGCTAGAAAGTCCAGCACTAGGAGATGCAGGGGGGTGGGGGGAGGCCACAAGTTTCAGTGGATTTGGGGAGGGAGATGAAGGGCAAACAGACCCTGCTGACACTGGGCACAGAGCCTGCTCTCTTGGCCACTTCTCCATGGAGTGGCAGGGAAGCTGGGGGATAAGGAGGGAAGAGAAGGAACATTCTAGACAGCCCACATGCCAAAGGACTCGCACTATCTCCTATGCAGGCATTATCCTGTCCTCCTGAAGGGGCTGAGGCTCAGAGAGGTGAAGGCCCTTGCTTGAGGTCAGACATCTAGGAAGTGAGGGTGTCAGGTTTTCAGCTGTGTCTAGATGAGCTGAGGGGCAGGTGGGAGATCAGTCCCCATCACACACAGCACAGAGCCAGCCCTCAGGGGAAGACACAGAGAGTCAATGCTGGAGCCGTTTCTGGGCTAAGCCCCACCCCCACCCCCACACATTTCCTGCTGTGTTTCCCAGAACCATCTGTGTCCAAGGCCTGGGATGAGGAATTAAGCTTCCCAGTGACAGACACACAACTTCCCTACAAATGGGGTGGGGGGTGGAGTATCTATGGACCTCAGACCAACTCATCTTTCCCTCACTAAAGACAACCCCACTTCCAAGAATAGCTAATATGTTTCGGAAATGGTTGCCTCTGGAACCCACCTCCAAAGTAATCCAAAGTGTCCTGAGGAGATGGTTCTCTGACTCTGTTCATGGCCTACCCTGCTTACCAGGCTCTTAGCTCAGCTCAGAGATGAATCCCCACATCATGCTATAGGATCAGATGGCAATTCCCCAAGAGGAGGCTGAAGCACTGTCTAGAATAAGGTTGTGGCCTCCCTCAGGGACCGGTGACCACCATAATGGGGTCGTCATTCTATTGGTCAGAAAACAAAACTCACAGCAGCACCAAGATGGCACAGCCAGGGCTCCTGGGAAGGGCAAGTTGACAGAAGACAGTTTCTGTCCCATCCCCAGGAAAGTAGCATCTTCTGCAGATGTAGGTGAGCAAACTGGCCTCCTATGCAGGCAACTTGTGTCTGCCTCCCTGCCAGGCTGGGAGCTCCTGCACATAATGCTACTTGGCATGATTGACTCAGGCAATTTTTGTGTGTGTGTGCATGCGTGGGTGCGTGCATGCGTGTGTATGTGTGTGTGTGCGCGCGCGCGCAGGTGCATATATGTAGAGGGCAGAGGACAATCTCAGGTGCTGGTCCTCAGGCACCTTCTACCTTTTGACTTGAGACAGGCTTACTGACATGGAAATTCACCATGTAGATCAAGCTAGCGGGCCCATGAGTTTCCAGGGATCTGCCTGTCTCTGCCTCCCATCTCACCACCTCTGGGATAACAGGCACATGCTACCATGCCCAGCTTTTTACATGGCTTCTAGGGATTTGAGCTCAGGTCCTTAGACTTGTGAAGCAAGCATTTTACTGAGAAATCTCCCCAGCCCCCGTTTATTCAAGAAGTTCTGGTGAAGGGTCTTAGACTGACCACTCCTCCAGGCCCTAGCATAGACTGAGGACAGGTGCACTGGGGGTCTTGAACCTAGAGAGACTTACTGCCAACACAGGAATAAGAGGTATGAAACCTCTCTTTTCAGATATGGGGTTTTGGCTACTGATGTTCATAGCTATGGACACCCCTTATATTCCTGGGGACTCGGAGTTCCAGCTTCTGAGAAACAAACCATCTCCCACAGATCTGGACAAAATGATGATGGCTTTTCAGAGCTGGTATGAGGGACATGCTTGTATTGCCCTTCCAGCTGTCATTTACATGCATGGCAAATAGTCCTTCCATCCAGGCTGAGAGGAGAGGCAGATGGGATGTGCGTCCCTGCTCTACCTACAAGCAACTGTTGTCTTTCGGAAATGAAAATGGAACCCAAAACACCAGCTGGTCTCAGAATGATGATGAGGGAAACTAGCCTGACCTCTTCACCAGCAGCCATTTAGGAGACATAATTTTTGAGGTGGTGTGCACGGAACATTCTAGATCATTTACATTTCCATAGCTATTAGTGTCTAGAAAAGACATACCCTATCTGATTCATTTTATTATTTTTCCAGTAAAATTAACGTGTATGCGTGTGAATGTTTCTGTATGTATGTGTATATGTGTGCATGTGTATAAATTCATACATGTATATGTGTATATATTGTACATGAATATGTATGTTTATGTGCATGTGTGAATATGTGTGTGTATTAATATGTGTGGTGTATGTTGTTCTCGCTATTCAAGTTCTAATAGAGTCTATGCAGGAAGAATTAGCAGCCTAACTCAGTGGTATCCCCTAGGCAAGTCCAACCCACGGCCTGCAGTGAGCATAGCTATAAATGTAACCCAACACAAATTTGTAAACTTGAAACATTGAGGGCTTTCTTTTTTTTAAACAATTTTTTGTAGCTCAATTGTACTTTGTAGACAACAATGTCCCAATGTCAAAAGGCTGGACATGCCTGCAATCCCATGGATTTGGCCTGGGACATGAGGTGCACAGTCCTAGAAGACCACAAGCTTTCTGAGACTGTGACAGGATGGGAAGGAGTCCTGGACAAACTCTGGTCTAAGTTTATTCACTGCTGTGCAAAGCATGACCTAGGGTCCCAGGTAAGGACCCTCACCTGGTTAGAAATAACACTGCTGTCAGTTATTTTAACGGGGATGTACCAGACGTTCCCTCAAGGTCACCCAGCAGCTTTGCTTCTGGAAGACAATTTCTTGCTAGAGAGAGCTAGTCGAGCGATATCATACAATTTAGCTCACTCAGATTTATGCCAACAGCCTGATTCCTAAATACCAAGCCATCTTGAATGTCCAATCTACAGATATTAACCGTGGCATTTTCATAATCAAATGTCGATGAGATTTAGTAAGACAAAAGACCAGAGTTTTATGGGGCCTGGAGATAGCATAATGAGATTTAGACAGAAAATTAAAGGTCTCAGAAAATGGAAAGATGCATAATCCTAGGCCCAGACAGACAGCTCTAGGACAGAGTTGGAATTGATGCGGCTGCCTGTCCCAACCTGGGATGCCAAATTCCACACATGGGCAGCCAGGCTGTGTCTGGCAGGGTCGATGCCATGAGCTACTCTGTATCACCCACCCTGGCATTCACTGTCTTGCCACAGTCTCCTGGTCACGGCTCTGGTTCTGCTTGACCTAGTAAGTCAGAAGCAGCGTACCCCTGCCTGAGCCTATCAGAGCCACCTGAGGCCTGATGGTCTCTGGAAAAATCTAGGAATCCCTGCTGGGCATCAGACAGGTGTAGACGGGTCAAACTTGGAAGTGAAGGGGCCAATGGCACTACTTAGAATCAACAGGAAAAGAAATGTTTGGAAAAGACCACAATCCACAGCAAACTCAGCAGCACACGGTACCTCCCCCAGGCCCGCCCATCCTACCTTCCGAATGGTTGGGAATTTGCCATCATAACGGTAAAACCACCCAAAGGCTATAAGGACAGAGAACAAATAATGAGGGAGCATCCATGGGCAGTGGCAGGGAGCTGGGCTCCCAAGGAATGTGTAGCTTTGTGAGAACCAACAGCACAACCACACCCTCTGGCCAGCTCTCCCCTTATCTGACCTCAGCCAGGGGCAAAGCAGGCTGGAGACCACCTGAGAACAGCCCCAATTCCCAGGCTTCAGGTCACTATAAAAGCCTCCCCTTAGGACACTGGCTTCAGAAGTCAGTGCCAGAAAACCAGCTAGACTATCCTTGTGAAAGGATATGCTTTTCTGAGTCATCACAAGGCCATGAACACAAAGCCCTGTTGAAAGAGAGAAAAATAAAAGCCCCCCGACCCAAGCCAATGCCTGACCCCCCTCTGTCCAAGAAAGAGCTTCAAACAAAAGCCAGTCTGGGTCCTGCCTGAACTGCTACCAAGCAGAAACAAAGTATCTCATGGTACAGCTCTGTTCCTCTTTCAACATAGAGAAAGGCAATGGCCCTGGAAGGTCAGTTATGGTAGCAACACACAAGAGATATGCTTCCAGAAAGCAAAACCCCCATCCAGGCCAGATAAGTAGGACACAGACCCTTCCTTGCCCAGGCGAACAGTGGGTAATACCCCAGACTTGAGCTCCCTGGGGCTAGGACTGACAGCTTAAACGACTGCCCACGGTCAGCTCAGCGCTAGTCCAGGTACAACAGCTTGGTAGCTGGATGCAGGAGGGGGGATTAGGGAGTCTTGAGGGAGAGGCTAGAGCTGTAGGGTGGGGGAGTTGGGGTAGGCAGTATTTAAATATTTGAGTTGGTGGCACTACCATACTGGCTGCTGATTTTTCAGTCTGGTTATGAATTTTGTCCCTAAGGTTAAGTGCACAGTACATGGACCAAGCAGGGGCCTGGGGCATCCTCATAGACCCCAGTGGTTCCCCACCAGGGGCCAGCTCCTCAGAACCAGTGTCTGCACTACATCAGGAGGAGACAGAGCAAGCGAGGCAGCCAAGCCAGGGAGCAAAGCGGGGACTCCAACCTGCCGTCCCTGCGCCTCTGTGCCTCCATCCAGGTGGTCTGCAGGCTCCAGTTTGGCCTCCATGCCCTGATCATCTACCCAGAGGGGAAAAGAGGGGCAAGCTTGTGAGCCAGGAGGACAAGAGAGAAGGGATGTCCAAGAGCCTGGACACCTGTGACCAGTTGTCTCCAGAGGAGCTGTGGAGTCAGGGGCAGCAGGGCTTAGGATCCTCGAGCTAAGCTTTCTTGCTCTGGTGGGTGCACAGGATTCCTTTGGCCTCAGTAGCTTTAGTTTCTCTATCTGTTAAGTGGGTTAACAGTAGGAAACCTCTGATCTGATGGCAGCATGAGACTATTTTACCAGGCGTTGGGTTGAAAAATGGAGGTGCAGAGAAGAGGCTGGGAATATCTGCGCATTGTACATGTTTGAGAAAGGCTTGTCATCAGAGAACAGATCATCTGCCTTTCTCATTAGCCTTGTCTTAGGGCTCTGCTTCCACGAGGGATGCCTGAGCTATGTGGACAGCAGATAGCGATTGGGAATCCCAAGGAGGTGGGGAGATCCTAAAGGTACACAGGGCACATGTAGTTAGGAAAATAGGAATCTTGGCATTGTGTGGAGGGAACAGCAAGCGATCGATTCTACTTATTTCCAGCCTGGATGCTGGCATTCCTGGGACCCTAGCAGGTATTACAGGAGCCTACTTGCGAGCTGCCCTTCAAAATTTCAAAAGGTCTCCTTTCTCATGGGCCATACGTCATGTCTTTGTGTTCAGCTCCAATCACATCTACTGGACAGTAGGACACTGAAGCTTAGGGAGGACAAATGAGGACATAAAGGATTACTTGGTTTGGTAGAACACCCTCTCCAACCTTCAAACTGTGGGTCTGCTGGGTGGGGGGAGTGCTAGACAGGGACGTGAGGGAGAGAAATGGCGATCTCTCATTTAAACCTCATTGCCCAGCTTTGGGATCCTTATTAAAGGATTCCCCTTCCCTGCTGCTATGGTGAAGGGGCTGGGCAGAACGTTTGGGCGTGGCTGCTTAGTGAAGGATAGGTGGGCTGAAGCAGTGTCTGAGCCCCCTAGGGAGCTGGGGAGGGGCAGCCGTCCCGCACACACGGATAGGCTGTCTGCAGGCTGTGAGGCTCTTGATGTCCAGGCTCTTCCCTCTTTGTTCAAAAACGCAGGGTCCACCCCTCACAGGCACAGGAACCCAAATCAGGTCTAACATGCTGGCCAACTGGGTCCCAGAGTGGAAGGGTGGTTGGGAGGAGCTGGCTGGACCGGGTCTGCTGTCCACACAGCCCTGACCTCTGCAGCCTCCCAGGAATGGGGAGAGAAGCAGAACGATCTGCCGGCCAACTGACTGCGTCTCCAAACTCAGCCCTGACAGGAGCTGTGACAGTTAATACACTGGCTGGGGTTCCAGACGGAATAAAGAGGAGAAAGAGAGCTGAGCACCAGCATTCATGCCTTTCTCTTCACTATGGCGTGATTCGACCAGGGGCCTCGTACTCCTGCTGACATGCCTTTCCTACCGTGATAGACTGCACCCTCAAACACAAATGCTTCCTTCCTTAAGTTGCTTTTGTCAGGTATTTTGTCACAGCAACGAGAAATAACAGATACGGGAGCCTAATGTCTGTGCTATGAAGATGGATGTCCCCAGGAGGACGCAGGCTCGGCTATCAGTCTGTGCTCACATATCCTGAGCAAAGGCAAAACTCTGGTTTCTTTTATTCAACAAGTTTAATTTGTTTAAAGAGCGCTAAATAAATACCTCACTAGTGAAAGGGCTTTTATTTTCCGTAATTCCTGAGAGGATGCTCTTGCTGCTAAGCCAAGACCCAGTTTCTAGGGAGGTACTACGCTGAGTCGGATTACTTTCATGCAAACCAAATAAAATCGATTTCTCTCCCTCTGAAGCTCCTATTTCACTCCAAAGAGCAAATTAGCTCCTGTCTAAAGCACAGATTCTTCACTGGGAATTTAGCTCAGGCCCCATCCTCAGTGAATAGGGACTGTCATGGGAAGGCTTCTAAAAGTACACTTTGTCCTTCCCTGAGAGATGACAGTGCCCTGCTGCCAGAAAGGAATGCACTGGGAGCTGACTGCCCTGCACCAGGGGATGGTGAAATGGAAACCTCCAAAAACCTCTGCTCTGGTGTGGACTCAGTAGGCTTTCAAGTTGGGAGAGTTATCTAGATCCCATAACAATGTGGAACCTTGATCCTAGGGTCCACAATCAACCCCATCTGGAGGTTCCAACAGTCTAAGCCCTGTGTTGTGAGCACAGTCAGCTTAGCAGAACTTGCCCATGTCAATTACAGATGGAGTGAGCTGGGAGGTGGGAGTGAAGATCCAACCAGGAATCAGGGACCTGTGATGGCCACAGCCCCAAACTACTGGAGGCCCTTCTCCTCTAGCCCATGAGACATCCTGGAAGTTGGGGCTGAAAGCAGGTGGGTGGGGGAGCTGCTGATAGAAGCCTGTGCTGAAGCCAGAGGAAGAACACAGGGCTGACAGAGAGAGGTGGGAAGGGCAGGAGCTAAGGCCCAGCATGGCGTAGCCACCAGATCCCAGGTGATATCTGGAGGGGTCTCGTGGTCCTCTCCTGACTTCCATCCCCAAAGTGGCAGCAATGGGACAGCTGTCCTCGTGCAGGGATGTAGATTATCCTCCCCTGTTCCCATCAGCCCTGGGCCACCAGAGCTCGACCCTCCCCTCCTTGCTGCGGGCTTCACCTCAGCCCCAGATCAGAACCAGGCCGGTAGACAGCACGACACTCAATAAGCTAAGGTAGTCACCCATGAGCCAGTTCCACATCTGCCAAATTCTCTGTCCCTTCTATAGCACCCCAAAGGCCTGCTGTATGTGTTGTGTGGCATAGCTTGGGGGCTGGTACATGGAACAGACTCCCAGACAAAGAATAGCAGCTCTCTCTCTCAGCTTGAGAGCCTAGCTTATGATCCCTGACACCGGCTGCCTCTCCCTGAATGAAATGCAGCCCAGAGAGCCCTGGGCTCTTCACTGGAGAGGTGGTGGTGAGTGGAGGGAGATGACGCTTCTGTCGAGCCCCCTTACTCCCAGGGGCAGGAAGGACACCCCTCCCCAGCACCAGATACATACACTTGGGCTTACGAAGGGGCTCTGGGTGCACCTCGGCAGTGATGGTTTTAGGCAAGATAAGCTGTTCTCTTGAGCCCCAGTCTTCTTCCCACTGCTTCTTGAACTTCTCTTCCTCTTCCACAATCCTGAAATGAGACCCCACTCACACCCCAATACCTGTGATGGGAGTCAGAACTTCACAGGCTCGCTTGCTGCTACCAGAAGACCTTGACTAGCTCGGGGAGAGGCCTTATGGTTCAAATGGTTCTAGCTTGGTCAGGACTAACATTGCAGTGTGAGGTATAAACTGAGTGTGAACATAGCCTCAGTATGTGCTCTGACTGCCCTGACATGAAAGGCTGGGCAGGACTAAGGAAGGGTTGCAAGTAAAAGAAGTTTCAGAGCAGACTGGGTCAGCAGGTAGCTGGCCACACTCCTGTGTGACTCAGGTCCACATACAGAGCTGAGGGCAGGCTGTACCCTACAGTAAGTTCCCCCACACTGTGTGGGACGATGGCTTCAGGCTGTCTTACCCCAGAGAAGTCCATTTTACAAAGCAGCATTTGGCTTTGTTTAGAAGGCAGATGCTGAGGCAGCATGACTGTATAACACACTGTGCATGTAGACACCACCAGTCCAGCACCACCCATGAGGCCCACACCGATAAATAACTACTCCTAAAATGGTATCATCTATAAACCTATCAAAGTAGGTAGGAAAAACAAGGGTATATGCGTGTATCAGGAAAAAAAAAAAAAAAAAAAACCTGAGAACTTACAGAACACACTAGACCAATGAAGGGAGCAACACTCTCACCTGGACCCCACAAGGGGGGGCACCAAGCATTGCAACAGGGACAGTCCCACTGACTGCTCATCTGACCACCTACTATGTGTCAAGGGACTGGTATATGCATCAAGGGTCTGTGAAGTGTAATATGTGACCTGAGAGTAACATTAATAATTATGATCAGGATAAAAGAGCCCATGGTTTGCCAATGGTCGTCTACCAACAGAAATCAGAACTATTTGATGAATTTCGGCCAAGGAAACTAGTGTTGCTTGGAATCCCAATATTGTGGAAAGACATAAACGTGTCTATATTACTGACATAGTGAGCTCAGAACACACAGGCATGGCATGAAGGTTAGATCCCAGGCACCCACTGTTCCACCTCCCTCCTGTGGATCCCAGGCACCCACTGTTCCACCTCCCTCCTGTGGACCCCAGGCACCCACTGTTCCACCTCCCTCCTGTGGATCCCAGGCACTCACTGTTCCACCTCTCTCCTATATCTCTCATTTTCTTCAGCGGCCTTCTGGGCAATCTCCTTTCTCCTTCTGCAACACAATAGAGATTGACCTGTGTGAGTCCATGCAAGAAGAATTACTTCTTCTTATGGCTGACTCCTGTTCTGCTGTCTCTCCTCCAAGGATGTCAGTACCAACATTGGGGACCGGGGAAACTACCCCCAAAGTCCTGGTTCTGTGCTCCTGGGTGGTTTCATCTAGCACTGCGGGGTGGAGATTCTGGGCCATGGGAGCAGGTGGTAGGTCTAAGGAGGGCCATTCACCTCTTTCCAAAGTCAAAGCAGGGGCTGCCAAGCAGGTGAGACTCTCTAAGCTAATTCTCTGATGGAAGAGACAGAGATATGCCTTCTCTTTCCTTTTCCAAATACTTATTAAGCACCCAGAATGCACCTGCACTGTTATCTTGACAGTGGTTTTGATTCATGAGTTGATTTTCCCATTGATTCTCTTTGTCCATTACTTCAAACGTGAGGGTGGGGCTCATCACCACAGGCTGCTGACCCTGGGGGGACTGCCAGGATTCTGACCCACACTGCCTGGATGAGCATCCCAGTGTGACCACGTGTGATTCTGAACAGCAGTGGTTTTACCTTTCTGAGTCTCAGCCTCCTCACCTGTCCAATGGGTTGATCCCATCTACCTTTCAGGGCTTCCATGAAAACTGAATTAGGTAACATAAACAAAGCCCTGGATACAGCACCATGGTGGGCACTGCACATGCTAGCTATGGCTGAAAAGAGCCTTGTTTGTATGGTTCTGATGCCTGGAAACCAGAAGTTCTCCTTAGCAAGGAGCCAGTCTGAGGAACATGGACACCCTAACCTGCCACTGAAGGCCTAAGGGAGAGGATGCAGTTGACATAGGCCAAGTATAGAAGGCCCAGGCTAAAGGCAAGTAGGTGGGATATGTGAGTATAGGCATGACCAGAGAACATGAGTATGATCCGTGGATATGGGTGTGGTCTGGGGCACAGGCAGGGCTCCCCTGCAGGCCACTCACTGGCGCTCCATCTCCTGCTGCTCCTGGAGGATCTTGTTGGACTCCATGGCCAGATGCTTCTGCATCAGGAGCTCTTGCCGCTGCAGTTCCCGTTGCCTCACCTCCTCCAGCCGCTCCCGGTCCGTCATGAAGAGCTCCCGGCCCTGGCGGGAGGAGGGGAGGTTCAGCCCCTGGGGAATCTTGGATCGCAACCACTAGCACAGAGTTGGTTGTTTCTTAGCCCTGTGTCTCCCAGTGTTGGGTCCTGTGACTATGGTGGTCTCTAACCCCAACCTTCTACTGGGCAGAACACTTGCTCCTTTCTCTCTGCTGTCAGAGCTTCAGGGAAGGAGACCCTTGGGCCTTTCTGATGGTGCAGGGCAGATATCAAGAGTCAGAGTGCTAGGGCAGGAGGTCAGGAGTCATGGGGACTTACAGCTCCAGCTACGATGGAGATGGTCAGGCTGCGACTACTCTTCAGGACATTCACAGCCTATGGAAACAGGGAGATGGTCAGCTAGGGCCTGACAGACAGACTAAAACATTATAGACAGAGAGCAAAGGTCTCAGACATCCCTTCAGTGGCTGGAAGAAGCGGTACAGAAAGGAGATACGGGCTAAAGGTGAAGACCACACATCTTACCTCCTTATGGTCCAGGTTGGAGAAGTCGATGCCATTGACCTCGACAATCTGGTCCCCTGTCTGGTGGAGAAATAGAGAATGGTGCGGGGGGGGGGGGGGGGGGTG